TAATTATAATTCTTAATAAGAATAGAGGAATGGTTTAAAGACTAAGCACCATAAAGCTTTGCGGAGGTTGATGCTTAGATGCAACCAAGTGTCCATAGAGTTATTTTGATTCATGATTACCTTGGCATTTGGAAACTCTGGACACCAAACCAGGAAAGCTTCTGGTTTTGAGATATATGGTTGATGCAAGAATCTTTCTTTTGTTAGGAACATCTTGATCTGAGATTTGGTTGTAGCAACTCCTAGATTGGAAAATATTGCTGGACACAATGCAATGAGTTCACGAGTCTGTCGATCTCACACTCATTGCATATTCTATGAGCATCTATGAATCCATAGACCTGGGGAGCTAGGTAGTAGTAACTGTGTTACTCTTGTCACCTCTGGGAATATGGAGGCATTGATGAGCATGTCATTCAGAAAATGGGTTCATGTGAGCCATATAAAACTAGTTGGCTGTTACTGAGTGTCCTTTTGTGAACATCCTTTGAGTATATCAAAGACTGAAGGAAAAAACACTTTTTAGAGGAAATGGAGGTTTGTGGAGCCCAGGCTATGGAATCTGTTTTATGGACATGCACATATACCCAGACATTTCTCAACGACTGTCAAGGGTATTACTATTGCTCTGTAAATTAGAGCCACTCTCAAGTTTTAACTTCTTTATAAAGGGATTTAGATTCATCAAGTCCAAGACTACTACCATAGGTGCCAACTCCTATGGGGAAAAACTAGTGGGTGCTGAACAACCAATGGCAGCTCCCCATCAACTTCCTCCACTCCTCATAGAGTCACCCATTCAACAGCAGGCCCTGAAAATCAGCAACTCCCACCCTCCTTGTCAGCCCACACATCCCACCCACTGCAAACAGCTGTTTCACAGCGTGCTGGGGAGGGGGTAACAAGGTCATGGTGTGTGTATGGGGGAGGGTTGGAAGAGGGTGGAAGAAGAGGGGCAGGGGTGGTACCTTGGGGGAAGGGGTGGAGTGGGAGGGGGCCTCGGTCAGAGCTAGGGGGCAAGCATTCCCCAGCACTTTGGAAAGTTGGTGCCTGTGACTGCTACAATCCGTCTTGTTATTGTCACACTGAAAATGGAATGTGTTCTAGATAATGCTTTTAGTTAGTGACCAGCTCTACAACCGCAAATCCAATGAAAGATACAGTATTTCTTGGAAAGTTCATTATGTTTTAGTTAGTGGATTCCTGGAAACCAGACATAGGATAAAACATGCTTTGGCCTGTCAATGCTAGAGAATATCTACTATTTGCTGTCTGATGTAAAAGTTTTATCATTTGGAAACTGAAGCGATTTGGGCCATATGTTTTCACGGCTCTAGTGAGGATCCTCAGATTCGGCACAACAACCGAATTTTTCTTCTAAAGGTTGCTTGGATGCAAGCAGGACAAATGGAGCACGTTGTACATTTTGACTTCACTTACCTGGGCTGCCCAGCTACCCTGAAGAGAGGGAAGAGGAATCTGCGTCCCGAGGAGGGAGCATCCAGTGAGTCCTCCTCCTAGTAGTGTCTTGAACAGCAGCACTGCCTGTTGGCTCTCCCGCCGGCTGAGTGAGGGGAACGTGTAAAAGACCAACGCGTCTCTTGCCGCGCCGGGCCTGGGGGAAGCAAGGCTGGAGCCGGCGGCTAAGCGCAGCAGAGCACTGCTGGCTATGGGCTGCCACGCAGAGCAGTTCACGGAGTAGCTCAGTGCTCCAGGAAAGGCGGACACGCTACTTGTCTCTGTACCGCTGTAGGGCCCAGAGGGCGCCACTGACAGCAGGGCCCCACCTACGAAGCGCGGTTCTCAGAGCCAGCCATACCCCAGTGGAAGTGCTGGAAAAACAGCTGGGCTCAGGGGACATCTCCTGCTTGCCCCCGCCCAGCCTCCGGCAGCCGCCGAGGTCCGGGCAGCTCCAGGCTGAGGCCAGTCCCTGGGGAGAGGCAGAGGCGGCGCACCCACCGGCAGGCCCCAGGCTTACTCAGTAGAGCTGGGAGTGGGCGCCGGGACGGGAGCCACATTCCTGCCTTGTCAGCTTCCACCGCCCCGATTCACCCCCAGCCCCTGTCCTGCCGCAGCTCAAGGCAGCCTGTAGTCGGGTGGCCTCACTGCCGGCGCTACAGCGGCCCCCGGTGGCCGTCAGCTGCACTCGCAAGCATCGTGCCTGCGGGCGGCTGCGCTGGGAGCGGCGCGGGTCTCAGGCAGCTCGCAGCGCCGCGGGGCGCAGGAGGGCGCGCACTGTCGGGCCGCGCAGCTCCACTTAGCGCAGGCCGGAGGCGTAACACAGAGGGCGCTGCCGAAGCTGGGTTGAGCCAAAGCCCTGCGCAGAGAGACCAGCGAACAGCTTGGATGGGCTTTGAGAGCCCCGCGTCTCCGCTCAGTGCAGCAGGCACGTTCAGCCCCTGATCGGGCACGAGTCGGGCGCCAGGCAGCAACCCGGTCAGGGTTTCCCATCGCAGGGTGCTCAATCCCTGGGCAGAACGTAGGGCCGCTAGCGCTCCCCGAGCGTGGTGGGACTTAGGGATGGAGAGAACAGAGCAGATAGTTACTGCCCTTCCCAAAGAAAGAAGTTAAATATAACAAGACCAATCAACACTGCACCAGATTTATTCAACATTTTATTTAGAAACATACATTAACTATAAAAGCTGTTGCATTTTAGACAATTTTTCCTACTTTCCAGAGGCATTTTAGAATAAATATTTTAAGTGAAGATTAGCGTAACTGTATAGTTGACCATTAGCCCAACTAGGACAGTAATTCTTGTCCTTGATTAGGTTTGCATATAAGGTGGATCCCTTTTAGCTCACCAACCATTATGTCATATCTAGATAGCTACAGTATGTACTCCATCAATAACACTATAGAGCAGGTATAAGAATAAACACTATGAAAGTTTGGTAGCGAAATACATAATAAAATGGTTATGACAGTTATCCATGTTCTCTGGAGTAACAAAGTGATAAACAAGTCTTTGCAAGAGCTAAAAATGTTACATTGTACTTGTTCAGCAAGAATACATCGCTTTGTGAAACAAAACATGTACATGGTAGCTCAGAGTAATAAAGCATTTTTCTTGCAACCACAAAAAAAGGATTTCAACCTTATGTTTGAATTGGAAAAAGCTAGGCCTTAGCCTGACTGAACTGCCAAGTGACAGGCTCCAAATGAAAAAAAAAATCAAATATAAACAAACCATTGGCAATTAGAATCGAGAAAATATTCTGCACTGGTGACTAGTTGTTCACATGGAAAAATATTGCATGGACTAAGAATGCTGGTTTGTATTGTTTCACTTCAGTTTCGGTACATATATAATTAGCCCCATGAAAATATGGGCAAAAGGGGCTACATTTTCAAGAGGCTTCAGTGAGAGAGGCATTTGTGCATTTGCAACTCTGCACATAAAAACTCCAACTTGAACATGCATTTTGGCTCCAATCATGCTTCTTCAAAAAGCACTGGGAGTTACCACTGACTTCATTAGAAGCAGACCAGACCTGTGTGACAACCAATACTTGTACACACATTTATACATCTAAATTTTAACACCTGTGTGGATAAGTGCTAATGATTAATATCAAATTATCATACACAAGCATGCAAAAATGGAAGTCACATTTTAAAAATTAGACTCAGAATATAATATATTCACAAACTCTAAGTGTAACAGTTGGAGTTAGACAGATGTAAAAGTCTTTTTAAAAATCTGTATTTTGAATTTTCATATTATACATTATTTGCAATAAAGTATTATGATGACAACATGCAAAGTGTAAACATGTAAACATCATGGTTATCAAAACATTTAACAGTAAATCATGCAAATGGTTAATCAAAACACTGGATGTTGCTGTATGTGTCCAAAACTTACTTTTTTATTAGTTTTGTAGTTGTTTTTTTAAATAACCCCCATGTGAAGTCCTGTGAGCTTTACTCTTGGGATTTATTGCATCAATAAGTCACCACTGTGTGCAACAGCTTCGCATTTTCTAAGGCACAGTTTTAATGAAATAATATGTAACTTTCTATTAGACAGCAACCATGTCTTGAAATTACAATGTTGTACAAATGTTTTCAGTGACAAAGTATTTCTGCATGAGCATGCAACTTGCATGCAAAGAACTGTCTAGCATTTTAAATAAATAGATGCTATCTATATAAACACTTAGAAAAAATTATTGCTTACCTAATATCCATTTATTTCCTTTTACTAACACATCAAAAGACAATGGATGTGTACACATTCTGTCACATACAATAAGGAATCTCTTAATTTAGTTGACCAAGGTTTTAAGGCAGAATAAATAGATTTTCCCCCCATTTTAAAGAGCATCTGAAGTGGCTAAAAGTGTGATGCTTTTGAATAACTTCTCTTTATCAGCCTGCTGAAATTCACCATGTAGTATACGGTTAGAAACCAGTACTGTAATATTTTTCAAGGGTAATGTGTCAGCTAAACTTTATAAACTTTAAGGTATACTCTTGATCTCTACCCAAACCTCCAGTGGTATGCACTCATTGGAAAATATACTCATTATAGTGCACCGGGTGCAACTGATTCAAATGTGCTTAGTATTTGATTTTTTTTTGTTTTGTAAAGTGTTACAGATTGGACCTCATCCTGCATTCCTAATACATTCATAAATCCCACATAGTGCAATGAGAATTGTACATAAAAGGAACATAGGTTCAAGATCACTGATGTACTGCACTGAATCATGACTATTTATTGTTTGACACATTTTAATTATATTGACCCTTTATGGGTCCCAAATCAACCTGTTTCTTTGTAAATATATTTCTACTGTATAGAATCTTATTAAGAGATTCATAAAATCTTATTATTTTGTAACAATTCTACTGACCATGAGAAAATGCAAGCCAATAGATCCCCTTAGCTGTACCACCAACACACCTCCAGCAGATTCAGCTTCATCCTCATCAGCCCCCCAAGAATTTGGTAGTAATGTATAATTCTGTACATACACAGAAGGATTTTTCCTTTAGCTTAATGAACAAATCTTTATTTGATAGATTATTAAGCGATAATGTTGAACATTACTTGATGTATACACACACTGAAAAAAAATCCTAATGCTAAAGGTGCAATAAATTATTTGTATAATGCCTATCGTCCACTGAAAGTAATATAAAACAAAATGTTTCAGAATTATAGCATGTATTATTAAACTAGTGTCTTTGTGTAAAAAAGTTATAGTTTCAGTAATAACAGAAAAGTAACTTGTGATGTTTAGTTTTGCAAATGCACTAATTAAGATGCTATCTTTAAATAATTTCTCATCTCAAATTGACATATTCTAGAACATCCATAAAGGTTCTGTAAACTTAATTTTTAATACCTTGAAATATAAAAACAAAATAGATTTATTGAATCTTTTGACTTTCAAAAGAGTAAAATAACAGATTTTAAATCAAATAGATCTGCAAATATGAAAAGTCTCTTCTTTAATAATACTTTGGATATGAATTACCAAATGTTTTTCATCCACATTATGCAAATTCATTAAGGGAAAAAAATCAGACTGTGCTTTAAAATAGCAGATGCAGCCTTTTATATAAGTATTACAAAATGAGATGGGAGCTATGAAGTCCACGGATATGAGCTCTTACAAGTGATTGTCTGGAAGTAGCTCCAGGGACATGACGGGGAAGTTCCTTCTTGCAGTAAATGTTTAGGACTGAAATTCCTGTCACAATGTTGTTGGCTGTCCAGCAGCTATATTAAAAAAACAACACAGTAACAGTTACAGAAGGTGACAAATCTTGAAACAATGGAATAGATAGGGTTTCCATCATGTGACTTTTAATCCCAACATGATTTTTACACCTCAGTAAAGCTAGTTTGACTGCCAATTAAGGGTATAAATTAGGTATCAACCCAGAGGGAGAAAAAAGGATATAAATATTGGCCTAGCGGGAATATATTCTTTATGCCTGAAAGACAAATGATCTCCTTTGCATTGCTGGCACATTCTGCATGCACTTCCAGTCTATTTACATGCAAAATTATGATAACAAAATACTTTGGTTGAACAACATGGCAAAGGTTGATAGGTTATCTTTAGCTGATACCACTGTGCCAATTTTGCATTACATGACTGCACACAATGATAAGAAGCAGCTTCCTTCTGTAGCCAGACAACACACAAGTTAAAGAGGAGGATTCCCTACTTTGCCTTAGAACTTTTGTCACATCTATAACATTAATGATATGGACAAGAATATTTCATCTGTATTAATCTATTGTTTTAAAAACATAAGCTAGCCATAAGATACTGTTAATTTAAAAGACTAGCCTGGCCATTTAGTTTTCTCCCTAGATTGAACAGAAGTCACATTGATTGAAGTATTTTTATTTAAAGTCTCTAAACTGATGTATTCATTATGAAAAAGTAATTTGGAGCTTTAGGCAAACTTATGGTAGGCAGCTGTGAGTATATCCACACCCCGTTCAGCCGCTTATCAGCACAACTTCTGGTTAGGGCAGAAGCACTAACATGGCAGCAACCTGTTCTCTATTTCAGACACACTTCCAAATAGACAAGCTGTCTTCCAAATTTTTATATATAAATAAAAGCCACACAAAATATAGATAAATCATTTCAACCACTGAATGCCAACAAAATCAATCTCTCTAGAACCGCTAACTTGGACTTTTTGTCCACTTTCTGAACATAAGCACAAATGGAAACTTTTTTAAAATTTTGAATTAAGAAAATCTCCTGAACAGAGATACTGCAGAAAGAGGCCAATTTTCAGTTTAGAGAAAACACCTACAAAATTTTGAAAATACTAGGGGATTGTGCCCCCTGACTCACCAACTCCCCCTCCCCTCAGGGGGCAGGCAGCCCTGGCTCTCCCCCAGCCACTTAGCACCTAGTAAGAGTTTGTATGATCAAGTCCCTAAACATGAAGAAGTATTTATAAATTTTCTAATTTTGTTTGGTTTGATATAAGATGCCTAAAAGAGTTCCATAACAAATAAAAGCAATTGTACAAATGAACGAGAGACTGTGCAACAGCACCCTCTATCTATAAGAATATGGAATTATTTCTAAGCTCAAAAATTAATACATTATGAGTACAAGTTGTGGACTGAAATATATTTGTCCCTAGATTTATACAGCTAGACTTTTTTGTGCAGGGAGGAGGGAAAGGAAGAAAAGGGGTTAAAATTCTATATCGATCTGATATCAATCACTTGTAGATGGTATAGTAGATAGGAATACAACCTGGACTATCCCAAGCAGAAGTATCTACACTCTCCAATGACAAGTGAGAGATCCAAGAACAGGAATCTCGAGGACATACAAGGTCTGAATCTGCTGCAAGGGCCAGGTATTTAGACATTAGGTGGGATGGGATGTCTACTTCTGCTTAACAGGGACTCTTCTGCCAATTAAAGAGCAATATTCACAGGATTTGATCCCCTTTTTGATCAGACAGAAGATCAAAGTGGGGAAGGCTGGTGATGAGTGTGTTAAGACTGACAGTGACACTTCCCATTTTTTCAAAAATATGAATAGCAATTAAAACTGAGAAAGTTTAGAATACCAAACATTATTAACACATTACTTTACAAAACTAAAATAAAGGAGGGATAGAGTGAGAATTTTGAATGCAACGGATAGTAGCAACAATTTCATATTGTTACGTTACATCTGAACATATGCACAGTTGTTGGAAAAAAAAACAGGTATTCACTTAAAATGACAAGATTAACTCTAGAATGTACTGTGGAAGGAAAAACAATATGGACATCTATCTTAAAATGTAATCTGGTACTTACTTCTGGATCTGATGTAACACTCATTGCAGTTGAGAAGACCATTTCTAATCCTGACATCTGTTCCACTTGCTGCATCTCCAAGCTGTCCCTTGCAAATTCCACACTATTAGATGAAAAAGAATGGAGAAGGGGAAAGTTGATGGGACAGGTTACTTTTTTTCCTGTCTTGTTCTTTCCAATGTTTAGATTTTCATTTAATGAGTTCTTTGTGAGATAAACAAGATTTCATGTGGTCTAAAAGCAGGGTTTTTAGAGCAGGCTATGTTTAGGGCTTGATCCTGTAAGTCTTCACATAGACTAAATGCACATTAAAATCAATTAGGGTTTTGCCCGAGACATTACAATAGAATGGAGCCCTTTATAACATGCAAACCTCAGACAGCTCAGAGGTGGCAAAGATGAGGACAGTTATTGGATGCTTATCTGAATGTGTTTTGTGTAAAGCAGGCTAGAGATATTTTGAGAGCAGGTGTTCTAATGAGATTTCTAGAAATCACTAGCTTAGCTGACTGAGAAATACCAAAAGAACTGTCTCTGTTAAACTCCTTTGCCTGAGAAAGGTCTTACTGAAAATCAGAAAAGCATATTCACAAAGACATTGGAAAAGGCCTGCATGCATATCGCTTTCTGAGGCAGAAGGTTAGCTCTGGTTTTTGATTGAGAGGAACAAGTTTTCCCACCTTTACTTATATGCTACCTCCTTTACAAAGTAAAGGTTGAGCACAGCAATTTGGGTTTTATGGGATATTTTAAGATGTTGTTTAAAAAAATCTGCAATAGTTTTTCAGCTACCTGGTCAATGTCACCATTGAGGCACTGCAATTTTAATCGTTTTCCCCCATATGCACTAGGAAGAAGCAAAACTTAAAAATCATTTGCATGTAACACAAGGATCACAAACTACCAAGTACATAATACTAGCACAAATATTTGAAAGGGGACCAAGTGATGGAATGTTTAATCCATCTTTCTTCCATCCAACACTTAGGGTGTGTCTAGACTACAGGGTTTTGTCGACAAAAGTGGACTTTTGTCGACAAAACTATACCTGCGTCCACACTGCCTTTGAGTTATGTCGACATAATGTCGACAAAACTCGGCAGTTATGTCGACATATGTAAACCTCATTCTACGAGGAATAATGCCTTTTGTTGACAGAGTTCTGTCGATAGAAGGCATTATTGAATCTACACTGTCCTTTGCGTCCACACTGTTATGTCAACAAAGCGGCTTGCTTTGTCGACAGAACTGGATGTAGTCTAGATGCTCTTTGTCGACAGAAGTTTTGTCGACAGTATCTGTCGACAAAACTTCTGTCGACAAAACCCTGTAGTATAGATGTACCCTTAAAGTCTATCTAAACAGAGATCTGAAACTGGTTTGGTATCTAATTAGTAAGAAGTCTGGTCAAATTCAGCTCTCTAGAAAATTATCAACACAGTTTCAAACTTCAGTGATTGGGTCACAGCAAACATTGACATAGAATTTGTCCTGCATCTGAATCTCAGGTGTGTGGAACAGCCAACATATACTTTACAAGATAAAGTGTAAAACAACATATTAAAGTGGGAGGTGCTTTATTTATCTATAACCATTTCTAAATGGATAGTGCATAATTCTTGTATCATTTTTCTAAAATGTTGAGCAGTGAAAGCTCTCCAAGATCACTTGAAAATGTATGGGTGGAGAGAGTTGATCACAAATACTTTACAAGGTTAATTTGGTTATTATTATTATATACCTGGGAAATGACATGTAAACTGGACATTAACCAGTGTCCCTAACTTCTGTTACTGAGAATTGTGGAACAATATATGCACAGTTACTTGAATCAAGACCTGTGGTTTATTAGCAATTAATATAACCATTGATGTAACTACCGAATAGGACAGAAACAAAATGTACACAATTCCAACTCCACTTCAATACAAATACATAACAGTGGTGTGGAATATCTTCCTTCCATTTCCAGTATTCATGATCATTAATTACAACATGCTATCTTTCCACAGTAACCATGGCATAGGTCGCATTACATTTTTTTAAAGCAACCAAGATAATAATGAAGTCATACCCTGAAGCAATGAATGTGAAAATATAGACCAAGTGTTTCAATAATCATGGCAGCTCCTTTTCCAAGAGGAAGCCGACAGGTAGAACATAGTTTCTTTCCACTGACAGACCTAAAAGACAATATAGGTTTTTTTTTAAATTAAGAGCAATATGTCCAGAGTGCTAACAAATGTTAATGCAGTTTTATTAAGAGCTGGTCTAGAGGTGAAATATTTGGAGTCAGGGGATCTTGAGTTATAATCTTGACTCTGCCACTGACTCACTGCGTGCTCTGGGTTAAGCCATTGCACCGCTCTACCTCAGTTCCTGATTTTCAATGAGACGTAGGGTCCTAAATGCCCAAGACATTTTTGAAAACTAAGCTTTCCAAATTGCTTAGGCAGTTTTAAAAATTTTACCCATGGTGTCATTAGGCTACTTTTACCTTTTTACAAGCAACTGTTTCTGCAATCAGAAAAAAATCCCTCGCAAGTGAATGGTTCACTTTACCAGTGTTGACAGAAAACCCCTTTTTAATACAATTCCAATCCTCTCAAGTGTTTGTTTCAAACCTAGAACTGTGACACATTTTTCCTCTTTTTCTTTTTTTCTTTTAATTCTTTTCCTGACAACCCAATTTGCAGAGTAAAACAGTCTGTTTTTATTTTTAGATTCTATAGTGAAATCCATTTTTAAAGTATTTTTAATCTAAGAATCCCTTGACCAACTGAATTTTCAGGCAAATGAGAATTAAACATCACAATGTAGGCTTTTTAAATTTAACTTTTAGTGAATGTCTAGGACTCCTGGAAGATGTCAGAGTCACACAAGTCACTGAAGAACTCTATTAGCAATAACAGAAGTGGTAATGAATGTCAAAACATGGCAATCTGTGTCTCAACCTTGACCTCTACATCCTATTCTTCAGAGATCTCTCAACCCTAATACCTGGTGCCTCTGTTAATACTCCCAACTAAGGCTAGTGATTATGATGAAGCTTCTATCTAGAGTTGTAGATTCAGGTCTTCTCGGAACTAGATTTCCAAAATATTTCAGGGTATATTAGGCCAACAAAAATATCTATGAAGTGGTAATTACTTATGATTACTACAAGTAGTAGGCTAGCTTTGATCTAGAGGAGAAAGGCATTCTATCCCACTGAGCCATCTTGTACTCTGCAAAGTGCCTTTAAATAAATCTCAAAATTAATTGTGTTTGAATACACAGGCTTAATTTGAAGACTAAAATACACAGACTTAATTTGAAGACAATTAGAAGACTAAAATGGTAAAAATGCAATTACAATTTCAGAATATGCCCCAGGCCTACCCCATGTTTCTGTTTTCTCAGTGAAGTTTACAATAGTTTTAAGAAGAATGTAAAAATTGAAAGCAGTATTTTGCCCAGATTTTGATTAGTTTTTGGATTTTTTTTAAAGTGTGTGCTCTGCCTGTTTGTAAATGTAACCCCAAAAAGCCTAGCTGCAATACATTTTAAGCAATTGCCCTCGGTGTGCTTAGCATTGTGCTAGATAACACAGCAAGAGAGTCTATGCAACCCATGTGGTAGTGGGGTTAAGATGGCTTTAAGCCATCTTTATGCCTTCCCAATCGTGGGCTATTGCAGAGGGCAGAACATTCCTGGTGTAATTTGGATAGCTCAGTAAGCCTATGGTTGGCCAGCTAGAGCTGCCCAGAATCATTTCAACATTGCCTACCTCTTGGCAACTACATGCCCACCCACCCCTTACATGCCCCTCCACCCCAAGGATGCCTCCTGTGATGGGACTTGAACAGGAATCTTTGGAAGATCCCTGCAACCGTATTATTCAGTTTCTTTGCTGAGGGAATTCTTCTACAGCTGGAGCAGAGGCTTTTAGAGCATCTGTAAGACTGCTCCAGCCCCCTTTTACCCAGTTGAAAGGAACCAGGACGGGGTATGAGATTCCCACAAAGTGCATATAGTTCTTGCCCAAAGAGTCTGCAAAGAGTGACCTGGTTTTCAGGCTATGCATCTGAAGCTCCCCTTAAAATCAGTGAGAGCTGCATGTTTTCAGCACTTCTGAAAATCGGGTTTCTAAAGATTTAAAAAAGGGAATGGATTTGCCAGGTATCCCCAGAAAAGATTAACTGCTTTTTTTTCCCTTTTATCTATGGCTACTATTTTTGATCACTGTAGGAGAACTGATTCTCTGAAGCATTTTAATGCAGAGATTTAAATGTTTTACATTGCTTGTAATCCAGAGGCTGGTTCATCCTAGTTATTTATGAATTGCAGCATCTTAGCAACAATTGGTAATTCCTAATCACATTAACCTAAAGTGGTATTTATTTAAAAAATGGTTTAATCCATGTAAATATGGCATCTGTTTTGAGAATGTAATATATATTGAGACTACTTTACAGTACTGAGATGACTTTCATTTCTTGCTTCCTCTCTGGTTGCATGGGAATATTCTGAGATGATCTTGGGCCAGTTAAACAGCATCCTTCTATTATATAGCAATATTTGACTCTTCAAAGATCTCTAGATTTGAGGTCCATGATATTTGTATGTATAGGTGTGGCTGTTCATGGGATGTTAAGACCAACTTTTTGAAACTAAGCACAAAACTTTTCCTTGTTAGTTTTAGAATTCTGCCCACCTTCTATTGCCATTATCTGATTGTTGCTTCTCTTTGGGCAGCTAAAAAGTGATGGAAGAATGTGTTTATTTATAATCTTGTTCCTATTACTTTTCTCTTTCCTTTTATTAGGAAGTTCTTGACATAGTGGAAGGCTATATTGCATAAACACCAAAACCAATATTTTAAGATTTTTTTAATGTAAAAATGTAAGCAATATTCCAGTAGCAATAGCCTAGTGCAAGGTGTGCATTAATGCACTTTTCCGGTAGATAGAGAGACATTTGCCTGTCTTCTCTCATATTATAGCTGAGCTATACAACGATGGGTTACATATGCACACTCTTCTGTAGCTTATTATGTTATGTCTTATCACTGCCCAAGCATATGTCAAAGCATTCATTTGAAACTTCTCTCCTACCTCCCCGCAATGGCTGATTTATTACTACAGACTGAAGTTCTCTAGTCTGGCACCCTCGGGATCTGATGGGTGCCGAACCAGAGAATTTGCAAACTATGGGAGGTGAATATTGTAGCAATTGGGTCTCTTTTTAGTTCTATTTTGCTGAGGTGAATAAATGGAACAATGCTTGAAATACAGCTTAATAATATATGACTATACTGATACACACTATATAAGCCTATGCCTATCCATGGCTTATCATCTCTCTTCATAAAAGTGTTAGTGTTGTTACACAACTTTACTGTATTGGCACAAGGAAATAAATAGATAAAGCATAAAAACCATGCTTGCACCTATTGGCATTAGTAACATTTCCATTGCTTACTGGGCTCTTAGCAGATATGTAGGGGTAAATTAGAGCTAAACAACAGCACAGCACACTGAAAGCCAGGACTGGCATCTGCAGACAAACTTTACAGTGCTGTGGGAACTTGGCTACGCCCATGACAGGTAGACATCCAGCTAACTAAAGTCATGCCAGACCACAGATGTTGCCGGACTAGAGAGATTCAACCTGTGCTTAGTATTGTTAATACACTAGGGTATGTCTACACTGCCACCCTAGTTCGAACTAGGATGGCTAATGTAGGCATTTGAACTTGCAAATGAAGCCTGGGATTTAAATATTCCAGGCTTCATTTGCATGTTCCCGGGCAGGCACCATTTTTAAATGCCCGTAGTTCAAACTGCCTGCCCGTGGCTACACGCGGCACGGACTAGGTAGTTCAAATTAAAGCTCCTAATTTGAACTACTGTTAAACCTCCTTGCAGGTTTAATTCAAGGTTTAATTCGAACTACTTAGTCCGTGCTGCGTGCAGCCGCAGGCAGGTAGTTCGAACTATGGGTATTTAAAAATGGCGCCCGCCCGGGGAACATGCAAATGAAGCCTGGAATATTTAAATCCCAGGCTTCATTTGCAAGTTCGAATGCCTACATTAGCCACCCTAGTTCAAACTAGGATGGCAGTGTAGACATACCCCTAGTGCCTTTCAGGATCAGGGCCCATTTTGCTAAGCACTGCAAAAACACTAACAAAGTTACAAACTCCCAATTCTGAAGAACTAATAATCTAAAAACATAATCAGCATGTGGAAGGAATGAGGAGAGAGGAATATATTCCACTAAAATTGTACGTACTTTATAATAACTTTTAAATGGCAAATATAAGTACAAGCTATTCCCAATTGTTCTCCCAACCTCAGCATTGTTAACTAGCTAATTTCTTCCAAGCTGATTTCTCTATGCCTGGGCTTGGGATGACAACAGTGTAGGTCTATTGTGGGTCCCATACCGTTCACAGGAGTTGGTGGCAGACCTTTAAAAGGGCTAATAGCTCCAGTTATGGAGACACACTTCAGCTGCTCTGGGGAAGGCTGGAAAGCTGGATGACCCCTGGGCCTTCTTGCTCAGTGCCAGAGAGCACTTTTTAACCTTCATCTTCAGTACAAGTGATGGACAACAACACCAGGAGGAGCCATGTCCTCTCTCAAAGTTATTTCTTCCTTTTTTTCACATCTATTTCTTATCTGTTTTCCTTCTGCCTCTCTGACTTCATTCAGTGTCTCTCAAAGGATCCTCACCTCATCCCCCCCCATTCTCCCTGGGCATCCCATGTGAAGAACCCACTTATTCTATCGTCACACTCTTTTCCTAGATTAACTTATCCCCTCATATGGTTTTAACCAAAACTCATATCCATTTTTACATTTCTAATCTCTCCACATCCAATTCTGCATCTCATCCTCTCTCTTCAAATTGTTCGCCTAGATATCTTGCCACCAATTAAAAACTTAGTGTGGCCAAAAATAAACTTTTTATTCCAAGCCCTCCCTATCCTGCCATTTATTCTCTGTCACTGCTGACATTACCATCTGCTCTGTGACTCAGGTTCATAACCTGGAAGAATGGAAGTTATTTTTGCCATGAACATCCAGGCCACACCCAAAGCTTGTAGCTTCTCTCTCTGTAAGATCTTATCTTTTTTGTTTCAGTACCTATAGCAGTGGTGAGCAACCTGTGTTCTGAGGACCACATGAAGCCCATTAAAGCTTTTTGTGTGGCTCATGAGACATGTTGTTTACTGTTGCCCACATGCAGGATTAGAATCATAGGGTTAGAAAAGATCTCAGGAGGTCATCAAGTTCAACTCCCTGCCCAAAGCAGGGCCAACCCTAACTAAATCATCCCACCCAGGGCTTTGTCAAGCCCGGACTTTAAAATATCTAGGGATGGAGATACCACCACCTCCCAAGGTAACACATTCCAATGCTTTGCCACTCTCCTAGTGACATAGTGTTTCCTAATATTCAACCTGGACCTCCCCTAATGCAACTTGAGAACATTGCTCTTTGTTTTGTCATCTGTCACCACTGAGATCAGCTTCCTTCCATTCTCTTTGGAACTCCTCATTGACTGTGAGAGTCATACATTGTCCCTAATACAAAGCACTGCTATGGTTCATTTGATATACCCTACAAATTCTAGGTACACAAGCACATTTAGCAAACAATTCTATCCTGGGAGACCATTTGGTTATGACAGTCTTGCAGCCCACTGAGATGGAGGCCACTCATGATAGCAATTTTCAAGTACCTAAAAGGGTGTTACAAGGAGAAAGGAGAAAAATTGTTCTTGCTGATCTCTGATGATAGAACAAGAAGCAATGGGCTTAAATTGCAGAAAGGGAGGTTAGGCTGGACATTAGGAAAAACTTCTTGTCAGGGTGGTTAAACACAGGAATAAATTGCCTATGGAGGTTGTGGAATCTTCAACACTGGAGATATTTAAGAGTAAGTTAGCTAGGCATCGATCAGGGATTAGCTAGATGGTGCTTGTTCCTGCCATGAGGGCAGAGGACTGGACCTGATGACTTCTCGGCGTCCCTTTCAGTTCTAGTATTCTATGGTTCATGCAGCTCACTCTCTAGTCTAGGTTGCCTATAGCTGCCCAACAGCTAAAACCCTCATCTATAAACTCATTTTCCATCTTGTCAACTCCTGCTCTTGCCTCCCAGACACCCACATTATTTCTTTTAAATCCACACAAATGGTGGTCTGCTCATCTTTGTCTGTTGCTCTGAGCTTGTTGGTCACTCTTTGAAAAACCCCACTGGCTTCCCATTCTCTAGCACATAAAGTTTGAGCTTCTTCCCATCATTGCCAAAGGTCACACAAATCTATTTTTCTCTCTACTTACTTTATTGTTTTACCCTGCTCCATTCTCCATTTGTATGCTTCTCCCAATGCAGCTTCACAGTCTTCCATGACACCTCTTAAACATGGAATGACCTTGCAAGTGAATCAGTAAAGCCACTGTCCTCTTCCTTCAAACCTCTCAAAGGTATTGTGATGCCTTCAAGAAATTAGCCAACTAATACATGCTATGTAGGGGGGTACTTGGCAGAGTTAATATTTAAAATATGTTGTTGTATTTTAATACCCTCCTCTTCTCCTTTCTTAGTCCATCTTCTTAGCTTGTAAACTCTCAGGCAGTGACTATACCTTCGTATGTGTGTTGATAGTATTTAGAGTAACATAAGTGCTACTGTAATACCTAAGCCCAGTGCTCTTTTTTTAAGAAAAAAGGTGCTGGTACTCTGAGGAAAACTTGTTGAGAAAAAACAAACATACAAAAAAACCCCATAGTCTGCATACAACAAAAAAAGAAAAAATCCCATCTGCCATTAGATTATTAGCATTAGCAAAAACAAGAGGAGAGGTTGAAAATAAAGGCACCAGTGGTTATGTTTCCAATGCAAATTGCACTGGCAAAAGGGTGCACTGTAACAAAATGTAGGAAAAATATTCTGTGTTATTTCAAATCATACAAGGAGAACTTTGTGAGGCATTCTAAATAAATAAATTCTTGGATCAAACATTGCCCTCCATTCAACCAACCTTCTGCTGAACATTTAGTTTGGGTTGGCACTTACGTCTCATTGAAAGCTGCTTAGCTCCCTGAGAATTAGGTCTCTAAGAGATTAGCATGAGTGTAGAGATATCAAAGAAATCAACATGTGCTTCAAGTCTGGGAATTAAGGAGTGGATTTCTGTGAACAAGTGTTGAAATATCAGTCCCATGAAGAACTTCCACAACAAAGCTTAAATGGATATACTTTCTGTACTCCAGCTAAAAACTAGATTAAATTGGAAAACCTACAGACAGCTGAAAACACTTGAAGTGATATTTTGATAGTACTGAATCAAAGACTAGTGTTGC